CTTCCTGTCATGTCGATGGAGTCCTTCTGGGAGAAAATAAGTCAACAAGGAGACAGTGAGGAACATACAAAGGCAGCAGAGTAAAAGAGGGAGGGAGGGAGGTTATCTGGACAACAACAGCTTTAATGCAGCGTCTTATAAACATGCGTTAATCAAAGCAGAAGGTTGGTATAACTGCTGTGGCATACAAGTCAAGGCAGAGAGTGGAAGACATGGGGCCCAGGGAGACAGGTGATTCATGCTTTGTGCTCTGGTCAAGTTGTGGCTTATCCACAGACAGACAACACACAGCAGCAATAACAAGCATCAGCAGCATCACCATTAGAGTCAGTCAACTCTTGAGGTTAGTTTTTGGTTTTATAACTGGTTGTAATTAACTTTGATTCACCTGATGGACCTCAAAAAAACTCAACAGTGCATAATTGTCTTTCAAATAAAAAAGTATAATACACAATAATGCAAGTCAAAGTTTAAAAAGAGTTACAGCAAAGCAGAGACACCAGCCTTGTAAAAATATTTAAATATATTTCTCGTTATAGCAGAAAAGAATCAATCAATTATTTAGAGCTTAAATTATTAATTTAATTATTTTGATGGGGGTTTTGATAATTGAGCAATGAGTTACTTTTAATTAGAAATGCCAGAAATGCTTTTCTTCATTTTGGATTTTTGAAAGGTGACTGGAGAAAACAAAAAATATGAATGTCATATTCTCTGCAAAATTTTTATTAAAACAACTTAATTATTCAAGAAAATAATGTTAGTTGCAGCCCTATTGTTGCTATAAAAAGAACACCTATGTTGTATTTATTTGCCCTGGTCAACTAACATTTTCTGGGCACTAATATTTGGCATTTTTTAGATTTAGCTGGAAATTATGGACCAAAGCTCCACATCTGACTGTTCTGACTGCGGTCAGACATGAATCAGATCTGTTATGAAAAAAAAAACTATTTGGTTTGTTCATTCTTACATGAAAAGGTCAGGAGGCACAAAAAAATCAGATCTGGGCCACTTCAGCATGTGATGTGAGAGCAGCCCAGCCGCCTGTGGGTGTTTTCTTGGAACTACATTTATACTGACAGAGCTGAGGAGTTCTGTGCAACTGTGTCACTGTGTTCTTCCAGGGAACAGTGATGACTCACTGTTAATGGAATTAGCACACAGGTCATTATAACGTTGCATCCTTTTCACTGCAATTAGGAGATTTAAAAAATATATCTTTATAAATCTGGTAGTAGATAATTGTTCTCTCCACCAGAGGGCAGCAGTCTCTTCCTCCATGTCTGTAGAGTGTGTGTGTGTGTGTGTGTGTGTGTGTGTGTGTGTGTGTGTGTGTGTGTGGCTGGGGGGGGCTTGGCTGCAGGGAGCTTTAGCAGCCCTGCTGAAAAGCTCTGTTATGTTATCACAGTCGGTGCTATTTATAAAAGTCCTGATTCAGCTCCACTGACGTTTTCATTCTGAAAAACAAAATGTGAACCCAAAGGAACAAAGGCTGTTCAAAGTCACTTTTGAAGTAGAATTAGCAGACTGGTCAAGAAGAAACATTTACATTTCATAAAATATTTGTGTTCCCTGTGTATGTAGAACACGGTGTGCTGTTGATGTGACAGTCATCTGTTGTGGTTTTTGCTGTGTCCTGCTGTGAGGGAGTCACAGTGAGGTGAAAATGGTGTTGACTGAGTCTGGAGAAGAAATGCCATCTGTTGTTCATTTTGTTATGATTTCTGTCTCTGCACTGTCACTGTTTAATTTAGACTAGCTACAATATTAGGGAAACTAGGAACAAAACATCCACAGCATGAACCTATATGCTTCTGTGAATACTTTCCTTCTGTGCTGAATATGACCAAGCTAAACAAATACACATCAGTAGGCTTTGTTGTTTTTGATTTGATCATGAATGTGATTGATGAGCATCCCCAGTTTTTCCTTCTTCCTCTGTCAACAGTCTGTGTTGTTCTTAATATGACTATACTGACAGACCTACCAGCATTAGAGAACCCTGTCATTTCTAACAAATGTTGACTGTGCAGTGTGAGCCTGATCTACACTCACTGGCCACTTTAATAGTCACAGCTGTACAACTGTATGCGATTCAATGTAACACTTCCACTTTAACACCTGCGTTAAAGAAGATTAAAATGTTTGTTTTGGTGAAATTGTTATACATGTATAAGTTCAATTAAGTTTATTATTGAGGTGTTTTGCAAACACCCTCCATTCCCTGTCACCTTCATCTTGCACTGTCCTCACCACCCTCCACTTACCTTTATTTGCCATGCTGAAACAGTCGCTTTCAAATATTTCCCCGCTTTTTTTGTTGTTTTGCATTATTGTTTATCTGCCTTTTTACTTTTTATGATTTAACATTTTTAGTGTTCTTTCAGGAGGACTCCCTGTATTTGCAGATGGATTTATTTCCTCTCATATAGCTGTTTTGCTTTTTTTAAGTTTTATTTTTAGTCTTTATTTCTTTTATCTGCACAGGAAATAAAGACCTCAGCAGGCGCAATCTAAAGGAAGAGAGTCGTTCTTATATCTATTCAAGGCCACGGTTTTGAATGTGGTTCCAGTTACCATAGAAGAAAATTTACCTCTGTCCCACAACCAAAGATGAAGCCTGCAGCAACTTAATACAGTGACGGCATGCCTCAGCGCCAAGCAGCATGCCATCTTACAGTGTGCCGTTTCAGAAACGGGGGCAGTCTGGATCAAAATAGCAAAACGGTTTGAGAATGCTGATTTTCATCCAGTACACACGGTTTAAAGGGCATCTGAGATAGACAGATAGATAGTGATGACAACAAGAGGAGCCTGCTTTCACCATCCTGCTGGTTTTCAGGCTTCATGATATTTTAGCCTGTATGATTGAGTTGCAAGGCTAGTTTATTAAACTCTGCAGCTGTTGTTTGTTAAAGCACCTAGGAAACAGAGGTAATTGATGGACCTATTGAGTTACACTTGCTGAACATGAAACCTCTTGAGCCCAGAAAGTTAAGGATACTAATATGA